GAGAGAGGGGCAGGTAAACCAAATAACGTGAAGATACAGTCCTATAATTATGCCTAATAAAAATAAACCCTTAATTATATCCCTAATTTGAATTATGGTATAGAAATGGTAATTTGGTATGCTTAAATGTAATAAACACAAACCTTAAACATTGAGGGTAATAAGTTTTGATATATGGTATAGATAGGTAAAAATCCCTATAGTTAAGCCCAATAATTTGAAGAAAACATACTGACTTTATAACAACGTTTGAAAATATGGTCATATTGAAATAACAAAGGTAATTGATCTAAAACAAAAAGGAAACATAACTAATTTAATCAACTGATTCAACTATAAGGATGGAATCATGGAAACCATCCTCTACGTGATCTTGCTCAACTCCAAATCTAAATCGAGAGTATAGAATCCAGAATACCAACAAATATGATAACAATTGATTTTGAAGATTCTTCTCCAACTTCCCCCCTTCTTCTAAACCACGTTAGTGTTGCTTTGAAAGAACTAAATCAGCATACCCGTTTATTGCACTTAAAGATGTAACCATCTCCAACATCCAACCTTCAATGAAAAAGTTGATAATGTAACACAACTTATCTGAGATATTTCAACTTCTTGAAAACAGTTAATAGACATTTTTTCTCATATAATACAGGTGTAAAATCCTGCAATAACATTCATCCATATGGAGTCGCGGCGTAATCTACACAACATTAGAAGGTGAAACAACAAGTCTCACGATTATTGGCACTCTTGATGAATAAACTGACCTATATAAACAATTCACAAAGTAATTCACAGAGATTTTCTTCTTTATTAATATGAATTGGATGCAACATGACCACTTTAATAATTATAATAAAGACATTAAATCCAGATTCAATTCTCAAAGGTAAGGCCACAAACCATAACTTTTCCGCCATAATAGAACAATCTGCAAGGTATTTTCTGGCCTTGTACTCTCTCCATACTTCTTGTGCGTAAACTGACGACTCAGTGAACACGTCTTCTCCAAGAATGAAACTCTATAACTTCTATAAGTTTGGCAAGTCAGAATAATGAAGTGTAATTACTTGAGTTCATAGTCATTACAAATTATTTGCAATGACTTCCATCTACCTATCCATCCTTCTTTCCATCTTCTGTCGACATATACTTAGATCAAAGATAGAAGTAAAAAGGCAAGTGAAAAGTAACTTGATAAACACAAAATAAGACAGTTGAATTTGAAACTTGAAAACCGAAACTTATGACCATTCAGAATATCAATGAGCACTTGCATGGTAAAACTCGATAAGTAAATCTCTGTTGGCAAAAGGAAATTGCATGCAATAGAAAAAAGTGCATAAATGGAAATTAGAGAAAGTCACATATAAAAGAACCAAGTGTAAGAGAAAAAAAAACTCCTTGAATGGTTATTCCCAAACTAAAAGTTGCAAATTCCATATAAGAAATTTGCTATTTTTTTTTTTGTGTAATTCGAAAAACATAGTTAGTCCTTTCTACAACTTCTCTTTGTCATAAAACTTCTCTTTCTCAACATAGTTCGTACTAATTTAATATGTCAATATATAGAGGACCAACGTATATTCAACAACATATTTCGAACAGTAATTTTGTCACTTATGTTGATATTAGTTTATATGCAAGCTCAATAACATATTCACACCTTTTATCTACATCTCTAACCAGCAGTCCTAAACCAACCTGAAGCCTAAAGTCAATAGATACTCTTCTTATTATTCAACGTAAAAGAGACACATATAACCCTCTTCATTTCAACAGGGGGGAAGAATAATGAAAATAAATGAGATAAAGCATTACCTCCGTCTTTGATGCACAAAATGTCCACTTCAGGTGTTCAACATATGATCCCTTACATTACCCCTGCAACATCTGATGAAAGAATCATCTTTCAGGCTGCTCTGTAGGTACTTGTTTGTGCCCTTTCTTGTGATCTGTAAAAGTCTCTATTGTATTGCACGATTCATTAACTTCATGCATTTTGATCCTTCTTTTTGTCTCCAACAAATCAGAACGTCTTCACTATTCCCTCCTTCCCTCCCTAGAATGGATCAATGGATATCCCTTTCTCATATTGGAGTTATACATTCTGTATGCCTGAAACTATACAGTTGAACAGAATCAAGCTTGAACTGGAAAAAGTAATGCTCAATGTCTCAAACCATAGAGAACTTAAAACTCAAATTTAGAAATTTGACTATTAGACCGGTGAAGCCAACAGAGAAGAATAAACTAAGGATGAGGATACTGAAAACTGATCTATCTAAGATTTGGCGCAGGTTCTAGCTTCTGAAAAGGTAGATCAGTATAAATGAATAAGGAGACACGTATTATAATGCATAATATATGTGTCTTTATGATAATGAATGATTTGTTTCTACATTTATCTCGATATTAAGTTTCCTCAAATTGCCAAACAGAAACTCAATCTAGTAAAATCACCTATGTAGTACCAAAATTCAAGAAAATTAATTTTGGGTGTAAAAGAAATTGAAATTATGAGTTTTAAATGAGGAAGATTTATAAGTTATAGTTATCAGGAGCATCAATTGACCATATCTCAAATTTCATTCAGATTTATATGCAGTGTTTCAGTTGTAAGATGCCCCCTTGGGTTGAGTTTTTTATAAACTTTCTTGACAAATACACACACACACACACACACACACATATATATAGTCCTTGGAGTGAACAAACATGGGCAGAACACCTTGTAGTGTATTAGCGCTGGTGGAAGAATACTTCTGTTTAGTTCTTTCGGTCCCTTTACAAAACTTATTTGATTACTGATAGAGATGGAATGCCTGAAAAATGTTGTCTAATACAAACGAATATTTCCAATAAAAATATAATATTCTATATGCTTGCATGGAAGTCTGAAACATGAAATAGGATGCAGGGAATAGTACAATCATGGTGCACAAGTTACAAAATTTCAGTATGTATCAGTCAAGCATATTTACAGGAAAATCACTATGAGTTATAACACCAAACAAAAATATAGAATAGCTATATTATCAGCGTACCTATTTACATGTTCCCACATGTCCAACTCCATATTGTCAATATTTTTTCTTCTCTGTTTCTTCTTCTTTTAGGTTGATGTATTCAAATTGCCAATGCTTAAAAAAAGCTCTTCCGTTATCACTTGCCATCCATGAGCAAGAGATGTCAGTGAGGATTCCTGAAAACAAATATCAAACATCTTATGAATGAACTAAAAGGATAATTTCTCAATTCAGCTTTTAGTATATCATATTGATTCCCTGATTAACTGTCACTTGCAAGGAAGAGAGTTGTTTACAATATTTTACTACAGTCAATTATCTCAACTTTTAGACACATATTTTTCATTTTCTTTCCCTCCTACTTTCTATATAAGAATAGTCCTTTTCTTCTCTCCCATTTTTATGGGAGGAGAGGGGCAAAAGTAGTGCAGCATAGTTCCATTTCAATATTGAGATGAACATTGGATCCAAGAAATACAGTGGACTTTAAACTACCAGCAACGACAAAGGAACAGAGAAACAATATTTCAAGTCCAGGTAACTTCGATAAAGATGGAAAACCAAAGCAGAATGATATTAAGGAGGTGAAGCACAAGATAAACCAGCAAGCATAATCTCTAAATTGTCCCTATTTTCTGATGAACTTGCAGCCAAAGATGTAGTAAATTATATCTCAAATCAAGAAGGAATTGTTGTCTTCTAAAGCAGCACACACTATGAACTATCATATTAGATCAACTGTAACAAGAATCAGTCAATAAAAGTATTTTGAAATCATTTAAGTTGTACCTCTGTTGAAGTACGTCTAACGTCATTATTTTCCTTCTAGGGGTTGACTATATCTTGTTGCTTTAGTTGAAAATACAGTAATTTTGAAAAAAACAATTGACATTCTCTTAATAAAATTAGTACTTTGGAAAAGAATCATCTTGTTACTCTTAATAGAAAATTTGCTCTTAACAGTTAACTTCCCAACTCTAAAAAAATTTCAAAGGACAAATCCATCTTTTTTTTCAAATGAATTTAAGACCTATTTTGGCCTCTAAGAAACCATTTTGCAATCCACAGTTCTATAATTCTACCTCATAGTTAACATAATGTTTCATTAACTGATGTAGTAACAGGGTATCTGGCACCGATGTTTTCAATGCCTTTTATAGCCACATACTCCCTTTGGAACAACTACAGTATATACCTTCTCCGTCAATGTTTTTTATTGCTCCATATGGATACCATGCACCATTAGATACTGGAAAAAAAAGAATATTTAATCGTCAAGTTTCTTCAGCAGGTTTTGGTTAATAAAATAAATTTGTATTATATAGTGATCCCTTTCTCTTATTTTTTTCTCCTCTTTTATCTCCTTAATCCTCTTAATCTCTAACTTATCAAAAGATCCTCTTTGTCTCTATGCATCAACTGGCTGTTACAGTACACATCTACAAATTTGTTATATATTTTTTTTAAATGTCATCTTTTATAGCCTAGTAGCTAAAATAAACCACCTATGAAATCTACATATATATATATATATATATATCATTTTTAACAACCTAATAACCATAAGCAGACGCCTTATGAAATCTATCAACTTGGTGCTACAAATTAAAAGACACGTCGTTCATGTACAATTCACCAGACTTGAAGACTCAAATCAAAGTAGTTGAAGTAACAATAGTTATTGAATAAAAATGGCTCTTTAAAATTTTTTGTTCCTCCAAAGAAATGCACCAACCACATAAGTTAGACTATAAATCTTATAAAGCGGTATAATTACCTCCTTAAAGACAATAGATTACTTCCGTCCAAGGAATAGTAACATTTCAAGCTTTCTTACAAATTTTTTAGCCATAAGCTCCTTTTTCGCTTCATGGTCTTTCTCGACGCGGATGACATAGTCCTAATTGACGAGACACGACGCGGCGTAAGCGAGAGGCTAGAGGTTTGGAGACATGCCCTTGAGTCAAAAGGTTTTAGGTTGAGCAGGACGAAGACGGAATACCTCGAGTGCAAATTTGGGGCCGAGCCGACGGAAGCGGGAGTGGAAGTGAGGCTTGATTCTCAAGTCATCCCTAAGAGGGGTAGTTTCAAGTACCTTGAGTCAGTTATTCAGGGGACCGGGGGGATCGACGAGGATGTCACACACCGTATAGGGGTGGGGTGGATGAAGTGGAGGTTAGCGACGGGAGTCCTATGTGACAAGAAGGTGTCACCGTTACTGAAAGGTAAATTTTATAGAGCAGTGGTTAAGCCTGCCATGTTGTATGGGACCGAGTGTTGGCCGGTTAAGAACTCACACATCCAGAAGATGAAANGTTACTGAGGACATGACCCTTAACAGGGAATTGTGAAGGTCGAGCATTAAGGTTGTAGGTTATGGGGAAATTGTGAATATTTCTACAACGCACTAGAGTGACACTAGCCAGTTAGGAGTTAGTCTTAGAATGCTACTGATCAGCTACTGATGATGGGCTTTATCTGTTGGTTATTAGTATACTTTACATCTTTCTCGTATTTCCTATATTTCTTATATTGCTGTTATTTTGTTATTTTATGTTATGTTATGGATTTTATGTTATTTTATGTTATTTTATTATGAGTCTATTGATAGTACTAATATAACGTCTCTTGTTGCTTTCTTGAGCCGAGGGTCTCCTGGAAACAGCCTCTCTGCCCCTCGGGCTAGAGGTAAGGTCTGCGTACATATTACCCTCCCCAGACCCCACTTGTGGAAGTATACTGGGTTGTTGTTGTTGTTGTTGGTCTTTCTCGATTAGGACCACGGTTTGTATTGCTGTTCTGAATTCTCCCTCAATTTCATACAATTTTTCCCTGTAACCATGCAACATAGAAGTATCTGTTTTAAATCTCGATGTTAAATCATTAACATTAAAAGAAAATTAACCATTCAAAAAATAACCAAAACCCAATACAGTTTTACCCAAATCAAGAAATGCAGATGAAAACAGTGGAATCTAATTAATTAGAAAATAATTAATAAGAATAAGATGAGGAGATAAAACCAAAAATAACGGAATTATATATGGTGAAGATGCTGACAAATCTCATACCAACTTATCAATCAGCAAGATCAGAGAGACGGAGGGAGAAACAGTGACAGGGTAAGTAAACCAAGACAGAAAAAGAGAGCCAAAAATTCATACCAAGATGAACATAGAAGAGAAGCAGAGAGCACGCCCAAGGTTTTGAGGCACTGCAAGGAAATAACTTGATACGTAGTGGCTTATGCAGACACACATATGGAAAATTTCTGAAGTTATATTTACCATTTTACAAATTTACGAAAAGAACAATAAATTGAGAGCTAATCTGCTATTATCCAAAACATGCAAAAATAATAATAATCTAAAATTAGCATTTATTCCCAAATCAACCAAAGAAATGCAGAGCATAAAATGAGAAAAACAGAGGAAATAAAAAAGAAAAGGAGGAAAACATACATCCACAATCCTAGCAAGAGTCTTGGGAGTGAAGAGGAAAGACGATTCTTGTAGTTAGACCCATTTGGGTTCAAACCAATCATATTCTAAGTTCCAAAACCCAAAAAATTGCAACAAAAAAGACAGTAGAATGAAATTAAAGAGAGAAATCACCAAAAGATAACCCATTCGAGAGATAAGAGGAAGAAGAATCGTTAGAAAGATAACATCATAAGAATGAATTAGGGCTCGAATTTTACTGTGTATAAAAATACAGTGACCATCTTCAAAAGACCCCAAATATATCAAGAGAGTTGAAAAAGAAATCAAAAAATTAAAATAAGAGCAAAAGGGAAAGAGGAAGAAGAAAAAGAACAACTTACCAGGAAGAGGGATGGGCTCTGAAATGGTAGCTTTCATCGGATGGAAGAGAAGCCATAAGGGTGAACAAAAATTAAAGCCACGTGGTGTTTCCAATAGGACACCTGTAAGTCATTATTATCACCCCTGACTTTCGATTTAATTACGAAAATGCCTAACCTCTTTAAAACAAAACTCTACGTGTGATTGTACTTTGAACAACCATCCCTAACCCCTTTGATTTGTAGTTGTAAATCTATCTATATAGAATAACACGAGCAAGGTTGTCAAGTGGAACACCCATTATGGTAACATATGTAATAAATTAAGACAACTCTTCAAAAAAGTTGGAGTTTTTTTCTTCTACCTACAAATCAGCTAAATCAGCAAAAAATTGAAATAACCAGCCAATACTCATATCTTTGCCAATCCTCCCACGATTTTAGCTTTTCGGTATTTTCTCCCCTTAATTAACGTGGTTGTTATTAAAAACAAAACAACATGTATCTCTACAAATCAGCAAAATCGGAACAGTTAATACTCCCACATTCATCCCACGATTTTTGGTTTCCAGAATTTGTTCCCTTTAATTAAACTTGCTGTTATTAAAATCAAGGAAAAGATTCCTCCACTTTGTAAGTTCCCGTGTTTTACTCTGTAACTACCATCCACAATTTGCAATTACTTTTTTAAAATTCTTAATACCTACGTTTTTTTTTTAAAAAAGGAGGAATAATATCAGTTATTCCAACAAAACAGTCGGCATCTCAAACGCAAAACAATCTCCATTATCCCACGACTGCTCGTGGTCTCAAACGTGCTCTTCCAACTGAAAAATCCCAAATTTATATACACATCTATAACTCCATGATTTATGTGCTTTATATTTTCAAAACCTTTTCAACTTCATATTTCATCTACTACAGTCTGATTGCAATTACTTTGCAAGTATGACCACACAAATTCATGATATCAAACAAATATCATCCAACTCGATGCAATGGAATCTCAAAGTTAGAGTGGTTCGAATGTGGATAATGTCGGATCGCTTTAACCCGCAAATACCGTTTTCAATTGAATTGGTTTTACAGGATTCTAAGGTAACATATTCAACTTTTTCATAGTTTTAAACTTACTAATGTAGTCGCATTCCATATGAAAATTCCTTCTGATGCATTACTTAAATAATTTGACTTCCATATCAACAGATCTTTAACTGATCTGGAATCCATTGTGTCATTTCGTTTTTCACTTCGAATGTTGAGTATACCTTTACACAGTGATTGTCCTTATATTAACAATCAGGTAAGTTGCATCTTTGTACATAATAATAGATTTATTGTTCAAAATAACAGAGGAATTGTTCTGCTATTAAAGAACTATTGTTCAAAATATATAAGTTCGGCAAATATTAGCTACTGCTTGCCTTGGTTACACGATCATCGGATGAACATATACAAACTACGTTTATATATGCAATTTTCAGCTTTGTTTCTGCTAATGTTGCCTTCATAATTGATATACAACAACTGTAGCATTCTGGTTTTTGACATTACATCTTTTAACAACTTTACACAGTGATGAAAGTATATACGCGCTTACATTTGTTGGCTTCATAATTGTGCACTAATAATGAATCTGAATTTGCAGGGTGATCGTATACATGCTACAATCGGAAAGTATGTTCTTAAGTTTTTTAGGAACAAGATACATGAACTTCGCTTATATCGTATGAACTACTTTGTAGTCGGACCAAATAATTTGAAGTTGAGGACTACGACACACAAGTTGAAGCTGACATTTACTCAAAAGACATTTGTCGAGGAAACAAATGATCCTTCATTTCATATGAACATCTTTAACTTGCGCCCTTTTCACCAACTAACAAATGAACATGATGTCGATGAGACAGAATTACTCGGTAATATTTTTTAAAATTTTAAATGAAGTTAAAAATGTTATTTCTTAAAGTATGTCACTAACTTTTATGTTTATAGATGTTGTTGATCAGGTTGTGACCTATGAAGATGTTAAGACCTACAATCAGGGAGACGACCAAAGTTTCCTTATTAATGTTGTACTCGAAGATGATCAGTAAGTACTTTTAAAATAGAAAAAATACTTTATTGATAGATTACATATATATATGTTTATTAACCTTACCATAAAACGTATAGGAGGAACAGGATTATGGCAACATTATGGAGCGAACTTGTGGATCAAATTCAACATCACTTGAATGAATCTGCCGATGAGCCTTTGATTGTTGTTTTCCCGCATATGAAACCTCAAAAATATCGAGGTTTACCATAAATTACATGTATTTTTTTATTTTACTGTATAAATAATTTTAAATTTCAAATTTTTATTCATATTTCATTTGACACACAGGTAATTACTCAGTGCGTAGCTGTTGGTATCAGACAAAGATATGGATAAATTCTACGTTGCCGCAGTCTATTGAATTTAAATCCAGNTGTTGCCACAGTCTATTGAATTTAAATCCAGGTTTGTGAAGTGTATAATCCTTTTCTATATGTACAGAAAATATAATAATAGTATTTATAAATTACAATTTTTGACTTATGCAGATTACTTGCAGCACGTCAATCAAACATTGAGCGAATCACTCGAACAAGTTCTCAACAAAGTTACTCTGTTACAGATGAGTTAGACAAAGGAATTGTACTGTTTAAAACTATTAGGGATTTAGTTCAGTGCACGCAAGTGAGTTTAATTTACTTTCTCAATTATATTTACCTTATGTTATCTGTTTTGCATTTACAATAATTGTTTATTTTTTACTCAATAGGAATCCAGCTATTGGATTGCGGCAAAATTGGTTAATTTGGAACTTGACCGAGGATGGTCATACTTGACATGCAACAAGTGTAGTCGAAAGGTGGAAAAAGTTGGAAATAAATACTTTTGTGCCAAATGCAATGAAGAAGAGTCTTCTGTTACTCACAGGTTAGTACTATTTAGTGAAANGTTAGAAATGAGTTAGACAAAGGAATTGTACTGTTTAAAACTATTAGGGATTTAGTTCAGTGCACGCAAGTGAGTTTAATTTACTTTATCAATTATATTTACCTTATGTTATCTATTTTGCATTTACAATAATTATTTATTTTTTACTCAATAGGAATCCAGCTATTAGATTGCAGCAAAATTTGTTAATTTGGAACTTGACCGGGGATGGTCATACTTGGCATGCAACAAGTGTAGTCGAAAGGTGGAAAAAGTTGGAAATAAATACTTTTATGCCAAATGCAATGAAGAAGAGTCTTCTGTTACTCACAGGTTAGTACTATTTAGTGAAATTTTTAAAATCTTATATCTATAAAAAAATATGCATAAGGTTAATAAAAATTGAGTTGCAGGTATAGGCTTCAAGTTCGTGTTATGAATGGAACCGCTTTTATCTCATTGTTGCTTTGGAATCGCGAAGCTATGCAACTTATAGGGAAGTCCGCAAAAGAACTTAAGGAAAGATTAGTTGAGGTATACTACTAAATTTAATTTGATTAACCATAAATATATTTCTAACTTATGAAATTTGGTGCAGACTTCACTTGCGAATGCTGACTGTTCTTATCCAAGTGAAATGGACGATATTCTTTATAAAAAATTCATGTTCAAGGTTATTGTTAAGCAAGAGAATATTGAGTCGCAGGTCGAAGTCTACAAAGTTCTTAAGTTTACTGATGATGATGACCTTCTAAAGGAATACGACCATACTTTATTCGAAGACAATATGAATGTAAAATTTTTGACAAAATATAAACCTCATCATATATAATTTATGTATAAATACTTTTCCACTTATAGGATGATCGTTCTTTTTTATTTTTCTTTAACAGGATCCACATTTTTTGGATGGACAAAGCTCAAGTGGAGATAAGCTTTTCGGGGTAAATTTCATGAAATTAAAACTTTTACCCCATTTTTTATTGGTTCTGCAACTGCTATTAAATTGTTTTGTTTTTTCAAAGGATCTTATGGCCGAAAGTCAGCTGAAGTCTGTTTTGCAAACTCCCATTGAGAAAAGTGTATCAGAAAGTGGATCGTCGGTGTTAGACGATGGAGATGCTTGCAATGCAAAAATATCCCCTTTGAAGACATATGACAAGAAAACTAGATCCGCTAATAAGGCATCAGCAGATGATGACTTCAATTCTCAACTGTCTAGCAACAAGGTTCGCAGAGTCATAAAGAAAGAAAAGAATCCCTGATTGGTCTTACTGCAATGCGTCTTGCTCTGCACTTATATATTTTGTACTTCTATCGCTTCAATGTTCTGCGTTTTATATGTTATATGGTGAAATGACTCTACCTATGCAACTTCATATTTTCTTTATCAATCATGATGCGATTCTGTTAAAAAACTAAGTGTTGTAGTTGGTAAGATGCAAATTTATAGGTTGCGCTTTTGGAATTTAACAGATGACTTTTTGCTGCCTTGTGAATTTCTTTTATGCAGTTTTAAGTGATTTTTTATATGCATACTCTTTATTTGTTGTCGTGGTGGGTTGATGCACTTTAACGGTGGTTTTAATGGACGCTTAGAGGTGATTCATGGCTGTGGAGCAACTATGCTGGCTTTAGAGCTGCATTTTAAGGGGTAGAGGTGGAGCAATTATTTGTCCATAAAATAAAACGTCCTCATTCCTCAATCATATGTGGTTTACTAAGACATTCAGAGGCCAAAATCATATTTGATGATCAGCATTTGCTCCAACTTGGTGAACGAGCAATCAGTCTTCTATCAAAATGCAGCATTTAACTTTCAGCTTTTTGTTTTCGTCAACATCCTGTTTTTGACTCTACATATTATTAGTTCTGCCATGTAAAGTATATTAGAAAGTTTATAAATTGTGTATGGTTAAACTTTTGGAATTTTCTTTTCGTTAAAATTATCTGTTCATTTGTACAATTATTACATTATATATGAATTGTTCTACTTATTGAGTATGCAGTTGAATGCAGATTTTTCGTTAAGTTTTTGCTCTTTGTATATATAGTTAGAGTCTTTACTTTCAGATTTTGTTCTTTATGATTCGGAGTTATGATGAGCCATGGAATTCCAATTAAGTGAAATTTATGATTAACTGTTGTGTTGTGAGCCAGAACTCCAGTTAACTGAATTGTCAACTCATCTTTGTAGATATAGTTAGAGTCATCCAATGTTATGTTATTGTCCAACCCATCTCCAACTAATGATACTGTGCAGCAAAATATCCTCCTATCAGGATATAAGAAATGTAGATCTTCACAACAAAGAATCATATAATTAAGCTGCCTAAGTTCTTCACACTAGACTACTAAAACTTTTAGCTTCTGCAGATGAGTGATAATGTATTTGGCCGCATCCGCTGCTTTTACTGCACAAACACATATATAGTTCAGCAAATATGACATAATTGAAGTTAAAAGCAATGCTAAAAGAATTTCTCAAATAATCTTCTTATAGCAGGTATGCAGAAATATTCTTACTCTTCTAATAGGAGGTATGCATCCACAACATGCTTACATATGACATAATTGAAGTTAAAAGCAATGCTACATAATGAAGATGCTCAAACAAAAAACAGTAATCTTTAACAGCACAATATATGTCATGGAGGCCAAGTTAACACACTTAAATCCGCACTTGGACATGCAAATAAATGATGGTTAACACCACTAGATGAATATTAGTTGGCATAGCTTCTGATAGCCTACCAAGTGCTCACTGCTTGCATTCTTGAAACGACTTCTCCTGTCTGAAGGTAAAGACAATCTCCTAATGATATTGACATTTATCTGCCTCTATGGGAGGTGAGTTGGAATGAAAGAAGCAAGGATGGACACATCATACTCTGAGGTATTGTGTCATATCAATTATCAACTACAAGCTACAGTAGTATGGACACTAGCAGACAAGTCATTGCCATGTAGCAGCGTGATGGTTTTGTGAACTTACTGATATAATGTAAATGGCACCACAGGTAAGAAGCAAGTAGCTAGCTATGTTCCAGACAAGAATGAGATCATTCCTATGCCCATAATACATGTAGAAAGACAATAGCCCAAGCATATGCTGTAGCTTTCACACGAATGAAAACTAGGTTTATTAACAGAACAATCTTGATGAAAGAACTAATAAAATACATGAGTTGTTTGCTGACAGAAGTAATAGCCTAACAGGCAGGCCAATCCTTTCACTCTACACCCACACCAAACTGTAATTAGTAGAAAGTCCACCCACGATTGAAATTTCTTCTCTACAATTCATAAACAGTGGTTTCTCAACAAATGTTAAGTGTGCAGGTAATACTTTCAAAAGAGAGAAGTCTGGATTGAGCTGATAGAACAATTTTGACTAAGAACACAAAGAAAAATCAAAAACTTGCATCATGAGAAGAAAATTAGAGGCAATTATCCAATAGCAATCAAACTACAATCAACAACAACATGACAACTTATATAGATTAATAGCGTTAACCCTGTTGGATATGCAGCTCCATGGTTGAAATGGAAATTCGGATAATGACTATGTTTCTTTATCGGATGGATGCCAACCTGGAAAGAACAGAGTTCAAGAAACAGCTAGTAAGATTTAAATTTGCCATGATGAGTCATTTTTTCCGGGAGGGAGGATCGTTTGGTAATAGTTTTTTAGTTCCTGCAACTTCACCTGATTCAGAATTCATCAACCTTATTCCTGATTCCTGATACTCGAGTTAACGTTTCAAAATTTGATTTTGCCATGTGCTGCTCCAAATTTGATGATTGAGAAGATCAGTTAAAAATAAAGGAAAAACAATATGCTCCCCATGGTTTCCATCCGTGGGTGAGACTAACCTTTTGGCGAGACTCATGAAACTAAGAGCACTGCAAATCACCTTTTAGCGAGACTCATCAAACTAAGACCCAGTGAAAGATTGAGGTTTTCGACACACACAAACCTTTCAACATTCAATAGTAAACTATTTTTTATTGTCCCA